TCCAAGCACTGGGCGCGGCGCGATGACCGACGCGGCCCCCGCCGGCGGGGCACGCGGCCGTAAGCGAGGACTGGGCATGCAGGTGAGAGCCAGGTGTCTTGCCACGGTGTCGCAGGTACTGCATTACGTTCCATTGATACATGATGGGGACGTCACTGAGCAGCTGGTCAAAGGACCGCCCGTGAAAAAGTGCGGAGAGCGTGGGTTAGAGCCTGATGTTGTTTCGTTGTTATCCTCGGTGATTGGCGAATAACTATTGATGCCAAGAAGCCGAAAAACTCGTGAATGCGTCGTCACTTGACCCAAAAATCAATTTTCATTCATTTTAGCAGGCAGCTAAATTTCGATTTTGTGCGCTGGCAGCTTTGTCGGATCCTCAATGCCACCAGGATGAACGCCGCCAGCCACCCTAGGCAGTCAGCATTCACATGCTCCGAGAGATGCGCCCTTTTCAGTCAGTGCTAAAGCACCATGCGTTGGGGAGCACATGTGTAAATTAATAAAAACGCTTTTTGCTTGCTCTTTGTCCGTTTGCTGACACTGGGAACTACATGTTGAAAGAGAACCCGGCCCGATTTAGAGGCGAATTGTCGACTCACTAGAGATGAACGTGAATTCTTGAGCGTGTGTATCAGCACGATAGAGAGCATGTGCTCCACCCGCCCTAGAATTTATACGTGTTGGTCCTTCTACGCCAAATCAGCCAACCGATAACTCCCGACCACCGTGGCATTTAGACGATAGATCGGCTAGAAAAATAAAACAGATTTTATTTACACAAACAACATACAAATAAATCTATCTCAAGTTAACTTCTGTTTCTGTCCTGTTGCAAAGTAAGAATAGCAATAAACGAAGAAACCGTGCCACTTGTTAACAAATAAGCTATATCCGTGGATTTGGGGGGAGATCACGATAAGATGGGCTTTTGTCACCTTGTGTTCCCCTTGGCAAGGCTCTGGCTTCGCCCCGGCCTATACACAAAAGAAGATCAAGTCGCCTACGTTGAATGATGGGCAAGAAAATGTCCGCTGGGGCCCATTGCATACCTAAGGTAGGCAGCTTCCCGAATATTTTTTCTGCGATGTTGTTGGTGTAAGGGAGGACAGTTCAGAAAAACCTACTGCTGCAGGTGTTTTTTTCATACGTTTTACAAACCAATTAGCAGTAATGCTGATCCGGAAATATGCAACAGGCACCCATTCGATCAGTTCGCGGTCAGTCATGCGGGAGACACTCGCCTCAGGGCCGTGGGCCGCCGACACGGACGGTCGGAGGTGCCAGGTTAAGGAATATATGACAGAAGGGCCTCCATTCTGTGGCTTGATTTTTAAAGATAGAATTTCCAGTTGTATGGGTTTTGTCACACTGCTTTTGACAGTTTCAAGCTTCCGATTTCCTTCTGTCTAAAATGCTGCGACAAGTCTTATCCCTTGAAATCAGCCAGTGAAATGAAGGCGCATACAAAATTTGTCGCACTGTGAGCCATCGATTCGCTTTCAAAGCTCTCACCAACCTATGTCCAGGCGGTATTTTGGCATTTGCCTCCCCAATGACCCAAATGCCTATCCGCGCGTAGAGTTAAGCCTCCCCAAGAGAACAATGTTCAATTGGACAATAATTCTGGGAAGCTGGACAGCCCTATTTGTCGAATGACATACACGAGTCGAGCACGCAAGATTGTGCACCAGCAAGAAACAGCTTTAGGTGCATATTTAGCAAAACAGCCATGGCATTTGAATAAAGAACGACAACAACCCTCACCTCTAATCATTCCCCCAGTCATTGGGGTTGCTTTCCAGAAAAAGTTCCTAAGGTACATCCTGAGTTTGCCCCCCCCCCACACACTTTTGAAACGTTCCTACGCCTATGACCTCTGAACATGTTTCATGAACCAATTTGGTATGTTTGATGAACCAATGGGGTACGTTTCATGAACCAATGTGCTACATTTGATGACCCCATGGGGCACGTTTGATGAGCGAATGAGGTACGTTTGTACGCGGTGACGGTACCCAGGTGGCATATCCCATCCAAAATTGAGCACAATAGTGCAGCCGTGCTGGTCAAGGTGCTTGTCAAAACTTACCTGACTAGATGGCGCTGGGGAGTTGCGCTTGTGTTTGCGCATGATGGATGGAATGTCACTACAAAAATTATATTATCTGTGGCGTCTGATCTTTTCCAGATACAGCATAAAAATCACCTCGGTTGAAAAGAACAGCCTTCATAGCATGTTTTCACACTTGCAGGTGTTGGCCATGGTGGTCGTCGGCCAGCAGCTGCTGGCCTTGGGCCTGAACGGTGGCATGAACAGCGTGACCCTCATCCAGGTGCCGGACGAGCCCGACGGCTTCCTCAGCGCCGACCAGCTCAACTGGTCGATAGCCGCCACGGCGCTGGGCGCCGTGCTGGGCAGCGTGCTGAGCGCACCGGTGGCGCCCGTGTTGGGCGCGCGGCGCCTGCTGCTGCTCACCATGCCGCTGTACGCGCTCGGCTCGCTGGCGGTCGGCCTCGGCGGCCACTTCGGCTGGACACTGAGCGGCCGGGTGGTCATGTTCGCGGCGCTCGGCATGTCCGAGGGCGGCGTGCGTGGTTACGTGTCTGAGATTGTGCCGCCAACGCGCCGTGCTCTCTTCACAACCCTGTTGAACTTCATGTTGTACCTGGGCCAGGTGCTGGCACTGGCCGTGGCGCCGTTGCTGCACTGGCAGGTGCTGTTCATCGTGGTAGGTGTGGTGCCCGCCGCACTTTGTCTCTTCGGTCTCGTCTTCCTGCCCAACTCGGCCAAGTGGCTGCTCTCGCGCAGCCACTCGGAGGAGGAAGCCTTGCGCTCCATCCGGTTTTTCCGTGGCGCGCAGGTGGACGCCGCTGCCGAGGTGCGCACTATTCACGATTCACTGCAAGACGAGCGTGGAGACGGCGCCGCACTGCCCGTGTGGACCCTGCTGCGGCAGCGGGTCACGCTGCACCCGCTGCTGCTGGCCTCCGTCCAGATGGTGTTATACGTCTGGTGCGGCGGCGCCACGCTGGTGCTCATCACCGCCTTCGTGCTGGCGCCTGTGCGGCTACCGCTAAGCGAGTACCAGCGAGCCACGCTGCCGGCCGCGCTCGTCTGCGTCCCCAGCGGCATTATTATCGAGAGATACGGACGTCTACCGGTGTTACGTCTGGGCGGCGCGCTCTCCACCGTCGGCTGCGCCATGATCGCCGCGTACTTCTTTCTCGCAGCGGAGTCGCAGGAGCGTCTCGGCTGGATTGTGCTGGCGGGCGCAGCCCTGGCGGCGGTGGCCTATGTTGGCTTGCTCGGCAATGTCGCATTCAGCTACGCCGCAGAGCTGCTGCCCAACAAGACGCGCACCTTGGCCTCAAACATCGTCATCACTGTCCTGTTTGTCAATGAATTCTTGTTGACGAAAACGTACCCACTCATTAAAGAAGGGGTCGGTCTGGGTTGGGGCTTCATCATTCACATGTTGGTGAGTGTATGCCAAATATTGTTTGTCCGTACTTTTGTCTCAAGGAAACAAAGGGTCTCTCATGGAAGAGATTCAGAACCTGTTTCAGAACTCTGAACAGGTAACTAGGCTTGTCACTTGATGACGTTGCGTCACCACCAACATCCAGGCTATCGATGTGCCGCGTTGATGAATCGCAATGAAAAATCGCATTCTTCTCCTGGCAGCACATCAATGGCCAAGAGGATTTAGAGCCGGCTCATGATGATGCAGGTTTCATTGCCACATCACCACTTTGCGATTGAATGTACAGAGTAAGGACTCTCCCTACGGCCGTGTTTATCGCCCAAGCTAACGTGCATGTGTCTACCATGGTAGAACGTGTGTGGAAAGAATGCAAGATCCCATGATTCTCAGCAACTCGAGGGTATAACGCGTATACCTGTGCCGGTTGTTCATGGTGTGCTTAATCTCTCCAAATTTTGGGCATTCTCCGCGCTTGACTGTCATAAGCAGGTTTTGTAGCTTCCAAACCTAATGTGAAATAGTGCAACAGGTAGCCGTTCACGTCCTCGGAAATGTTTGCTGTCGTCATGTGCTACCTCCTTTCATCGGTCTGTCATGCCAGCCGGTACGAGTCAAGTCATAATCCTGGTTTTGGGGACAATTTGCAAAACTGCCCACCTTTTCCTGTGGCTTTTGTTAGCGCTATATGCATCGTTTTAAGCGCGCAGCATAATTTCATGGATTTCTAAAACAACTAACATAAACAGTAGGCACGAATTCGTTTTACCGATTGGTATGATCAAGATGAGATGAAAAAATGCGGGGGAGACATGCCACTCAACGTGTCTTTCCGCTGTTTTTTCTGGCGTGAATATCCTCGTTGCAATGTGATCCGGCCAGGGCGCACCATTCATCCGCTGTCGTTTGCACTATTCATCCGCTGTCGTTTGCATCATACATCCGCTCTCGTTAAGCATGGTCATCTGACACGGCAGATCCGTTCGCCTATCAACACCGTGACGCGATTAATCGCCGTACACGGACCCTACGTATGGATGGCGGATATCTGTGGAAAACGCAATAATGAGGCCGACTAACAACGCTGTGAAGACTTTTCGTCCTGAAAAGAGCGTTCTGCTTTCAAAGTTTTGAAATTTTGGATTGCTGCTGCAGGCCATGTAAAAGCATTTCTGCTCGCAAGTGATATGACATATTTTGTTTTGGTCCAAACATCTAACCTAATCCAAAAAATGGCGTCAGGCCATCAGGCCATCAGGGGCCAGAAAAATGGCCATCAGGGGCCACAAAGTGGCCATCAGGGGCCTCTTCTCACATGCTCGCGTGGCCGGTACGCCGGCCTGCCCACCGGCCGCTCCCCGAGGCTGCAGAACGTTCGCCTGCTACCCGACGGGACGGCCCCTCCGCGCGCCCTTCCGCCTGACGTGCTGGCGGTGCCGCTTCCGGGCCCAGGGTCGCGTTCGTCAGTGCGTGCTGGGCGACGCCCTGTGCGTGTTCGTCGTGCCGCAGCTCGTTTAGATTTGCAGGCATGTGCCCGCGCGCGGACTTTTCCTATCACCGCGCAGTGGCCTTATGTGTATATGTTTGCCTTTCTTCCTTCTTTATTCGCCGGCCCCGTGTGCGAGTTCTTTTGTCGTTATGTTGCTGTCTTTCGATATTACGTGGCACTTGATTGAGAAGGAAGGATCGTACCGCAGCATTTCAAGGCGGCTGAAGCTATACTTTTGGTTTTCGCGCTAGGTGGCAGCACGGGTCTCGGTAAACGTGCGTCAACATCATGCCTCATAGCGGGCCGGCGCACCGCCCTGTGTGTTTGGTTGCAGTGATGCTGGATTGTGCCGTAGCTACTTTAACACAAAAGTGCAACTACATGTGTCTTCATTTGACACGATAAACCCAACGACGAGACGGGTTACACATCGTGTCACATATCATATTACATATCATATCACATCACATCACATATTATATCACCCTTACAGGAAGCGCTCCACACTTTATGGGGCTTTAAGCTGAAATAGCCATCTTGAACTTTTGGTGCTTCACAATTCTGCCCTTCTTAAGACCTAGGTCCCTCTAGATGCTTGGCTACACGCCACCGACACGAAAGTGGGGAAAGGTACGTCTGGAAGAGTATTTCAAAGTCACCTTGGCATTTATGACGCGATAACAACGTCCTTCAAATCCCAACTCCCATTCCATAAGTCATGCGGTGATCAAGGCCCAGGAAAATATAACTGTCGAGGCATTCATATCTGACGTTTGTGAGCGCGATTTCCAGATATAACGGTAGTGAATTGGGTCTTTATCAATGTTGTACAGGGTACGATGAAGGGTAACATAATCAAACCATGACGCGTTGAGGAGCATACTTTCTGCACTGAGAATTGTGCTGTCCAGAGCACTTTTTACACTTAAAAGTATACACATAGTTTTAAGAGAGCTTGTTTCATTTAATATCATTTCACTTTCTCTTCTTCATTTCATTTCACTTCATCATTCAGTACCTTTATATTTGACACATTCCCTTTAAGTTGGTATATCTAAAGACTCCCCAATTTGCGGATTGACTCGATTCGTGAAGTGCTCTACTTCAGACATAAATACACCAACCACACCGTCAGTGCCTCCATTTCGACAACTGTGGCGCAGGTGACAGGCCAGTAACTGCGGGCCGTATAGGCATGTGAGCGAGGCTGGAGCAGTGAGAGACGCCTAGTTTCCCGTGGAATCCATAGATTAGCCACAATGATTACGAGGCATGGTTAGTGTACGAAGCTAAAAAGTTTAAGTGCACCTGACCATCGCAATAGCAGGGAAGTGCAGCGTGTAGCTGTGTTTATGGCAATGACCTACCCAACCATTGCGCAACGAAATCTGGCCAAGCTTCCACCATTTTAGAAATATTCCATCCATTCAAAGGGATCGGATCAAATTTATAAAAATGAAACGATTGCCTCTACGCTAACGCCAACCTCACGACTGGCTCTCAGTGCAGGCCGTCGCCGCCGAACTCTCTGCAGATTGGGCTAGGAGGCTTCTGGCCCGCCAGACGGTGCGACCTGTTCGCTACTCAGCGCGACAGAAGGCCGTGCAGTCTCGGGCCTATTTATGGCCACCGGCGGCCAGGCCGGCGTCTGCACAGGGAGACAGAGGGGGGGGGGGGGGGGGCAGGGCCGGAAGCTGACTGGTCCAAACTGAGGACATACCGAGAAGAGACGGTCGCTTGGGCCTCTCGGCCGCAGACGCCGCAGCGTGCACGTTCCGAGTCTGCCATGCAAGCTAAGCTTTGCCTTTCTAATTCGTCTACATGGAGGTTCGACTGAGCTCAAAGATGCCCTAAGTGCTTTTTGCACGAATCATTGGCGGGAGCTTCCCTTTTTTACTTTTTACTCAGAACTGGATCAGGCGATATGGTTGTTAATACTAGTATATAGTAATACTAATACTAGTATATAGTTAATACCAGTATAATAATACTAGTTTTCTCGGACTCCATCCGAACAGCTCACCATTTCTATTTTAAGCAGCCGCTCCGACGGCAGAAATCTCATTGGACTCCCTGTCCATCACTACCAACTTGATAATTTCCATTCGCTTGCCTTTTACCAGCATGAGTGTTATGCACACAGTTGCCTGGTTTCTAGTTTGGATTCTGGGTTCTCACCAATTACTTGAGTAGAATACAAATCTTAATGCTGGCTCCCACTGGTTCCTTTGACAACACAAAACCCCGGGTTTTGGTTCCTGCTGATTCTGTCAGCAAACCAAAATTTTGGATCTTGGTTTTCACTGGTTCTATAGACAACACAAACCCTGGATCCTGATTTCTACTGGTTCTTTCAACAAACCAAAACCCTACATCCTGGCTCATTCAGGTTCTTTCAACAAACCACGATCGTGGATCTTGGTCCTCCCTGGTTCTTTCGAAAAAATGCGGTCCTGGATCCTGGTTCCCACTGGTTCCTTCGCCAAATACAAACCGTGGATTCTAGTTGCCCCCGGTTCTTTTGCAGACCATGGGTCTGGTTCTTGTTTCTCAATGGCCATTTCAATAACGCTGGACCTTGAATATGGGTTGTCACTGATTTGTCATAAGTGCGAGACACTGACTCGTGGTTCTCAGCCACAAAGCCACGCAAGTCACACAGGACAACCCACGTGTTGCTTTTAATATAATATATAAATGAACGTATATAATTTACTGTTGTATTTTTCTCTGACAGGTTATGACAAAGAGAAGAGCCAGATGGAGCTGGGACTCCTGACTTTTGAGAAACAAATATTGGCCCTTTCCAGACAGGGCCAGTGCTGGCTGTACGTCAACTGAAAAGAAACGACAAATATTGGTCCCAGGGTCCCACACTGGAAGTATTTCCATTGCACCTGCTGTCAGCAATAAGCGAATAGCTCTGTATAATGTGTCTGTGCTGTGTTCATGTCCTTATCAACATGTCAATTCCGATCAAATGGAACCCTTTTATTGATATCGAAATAAGGTGTGGTCAAACCCCACGGCCGTATAGCAGATGAGATGGATGGGGTATGGGTCAGACATCAGGTACTGGCAGAACCAGAGTGGTGTCGCATGGGTGGGTCGATCCTTTGTCAACGAACCTACACAGCCTCTGAGCAAATGCAAAACAACGACAAGTTCATTTCCCTTGTAGACCATCATGATTGACTCTATACGGAAGAATTCTGGTAAGCATAGTTTTTTATTAATATGATAGTCCATAGACTAGTTTTTTCCAAATAGATGTTAGAAAACCGCCAGTTAACCAAGGCCATCCAGCAGGTCTGTGTTTTTAGCTTGACTCGGTACTACCCAATTTATGTTACCTTAGGCAAAACGGATCCCAAGACCGATGACAGGATAATTCAAGTTCGGACAGATAACCCCATTATTTTACGTGTTATGACGCGTGCTCTCAGGATTTCTTGTCACGATGAACTCATGGAAGCTTGCAGTCACTTGTGTCTGTGACTGCTGAGAGCATTTTGAATTCGAAAGGACTTTCCATGACAGTCACCGGCAAACGAAGTTTTGTTGGCAGGTGCAATGCAAGGCAAATACACAATGATTTCAGTGAATTTGGGGTTATTATGATGAACAGCAGTTTCCAAAATCTGCAGACATTCCGCTAACGAGCCTTGAGCTCATGCCAAAAATAATTCTTTCCTTCAAAAAATTATCTTATCTTTTGTGCCAAACGTGGATGCTTAAATCGTATAGACTAGGCTAATGTTCCATTCTCAAAGTGTGGCATATGTTTGTAAGCTCTCATTGTGGTAGGGCTGCATCAAACAGCTGGGATTTGGGCAGCTTTCTGACATGGTTAAGGGATATGCTTTCTGTTCATTTTTGTACCACCTTTGAGGAACCCCAATGGGTTATTTTCATGTTGCTGTGTCACGTAAGCCCTTCCAAATGTGAGAACAAAAAGTTGAGTATAGGTACAATCACTCAACTGAATTGCAACTGAACTGAACTCATCTTAATGGTAGGTTAGGTTAGGTTAGGTTAGGTTAGGTTAGGTTAGGTTAGGTTAGGTTAGGTTAGGTTAGGTTAGGTTAGGTTAGGTTAGGCTAGGTTAGGTTAGGTTAGGTTGCAATTCAGTTGCAACCTACTGAATTGCAACTCAACTGAACCTACGAACAAGCTGAATATAGGTACAACCACTGATCTGCTCAGCCTTCCCAACTGTTTTGAAAGATGGTTACCCTGAGTAATGCATTCCTGAATCCCGATCATGAAAATCAAAGGATGAAAGAAGTCTCACGTACGATTCAAGTTCTTGATGGTTACTTTGGCAACACTCTAGAGATTGATTCTTGCTGGATCTCAAGTTAATCCTGAGCTGTGTCTTTGTTCTTGCATGATCTCTTTATGTTCCAGGCTGAATCTGGGTTCTTGCTAGATCTTTTGACTTTTTGTTAGGCCGGATCTTGGTTCTGTCTGAATCTGTCGACATAATACCAGGTTGAATCTTAGTTTTTCTTATTCCTAAACGCTAGTGAACGCGTCACCACTGAGTGCAGTCTCCCCGATTTGGATGCCTCCACGGGCAGGATTTCCTTTGCCGAATGCGTTCGCAATCCATGCGAGGGTTGGAAACAGCCTCCCATGTACCTGGCATGATTGATGACAAAAATGGGCACTTCTGCGAGCTATCTGGCGGCAAGATGGCGAGAATGCAAATCAAATTCAACAAAACATCCAACCCAGACGACACAAAAAGCTTAATGTACACTTGCAGTGCTCGACGACGCTGGTAGCGTGAGCTTGTTTAGAGCACATGTCGAAACATCGTCGTTTTACTATATGAGCAAATGACGTCACCAAATGCTTCCAAATTTCGAAGCTTTCACCCGGATAAGTTAAAGCAGGCGACGCAAACATGCTACAAAATATACTTTGTCAGTGCTGAGGTCACAGATAAGCAATAGCACCATAAGTATCTAATATCACCAGGTGGTACTAGATATGCATAGATAAGCCAGGACTTAATAAATCA